GAGTAGAATTACCAGGGCAAGCATCGACACTGTCAAAGTATCGAATAAATGACGTCATGCTTCTACTGACCTACATTCACCGAAAACAAGCTGCATTTTTTCCCGTAACATTTTGGACCGTCGCGAAACGTGGATGCATCGGCGTCACCATTCATGGTTTCATCAGGCATCGCATTGACACTGAAAAGTGAGCGCCTGTATCAGAATTTGCAAGCATAAAGAAAGCGTGAGTTGTGCTAAAAAAAAAGGTGACCAGACGTCTCGATTTAGGTGAGACGTCCCGCTTTCAGGCCACCTGTCCCTGTGTCCTCCCATTGAACTTGCAGTTTTAATACCATTTCTAGTTCGTATTTCAACAATAATAAATATAATTGTCAATGCAACAAATACATTCATATTCTTTTTTAAGAGGCAAGAGAAGTATTTATTGGGCGTCCCGCTTTCGAGACAGAAATCTGGTCACCTTATGATAAACTCACAGAGCCCAGAAAGAGGGAAATAAAATAAAAAATGAAGGACAAGAGCGACGCGACGCCCGACGAACTCCAGAGAGGCTGGCTTTTTTTATACTATCCCATCGGAGTGCACTATAGATAGATTCCGCCCTTCGGCCACCCCCCCCCCCCCCCTCCCCTTATTCCCTCCCCCTCCCCCCCCCCTGCATATGACTGCGATGCGTCGCGGGACAGGCGCAAATACGACAGCGGTTCGTTCATAGCTCTATGTCGAGCTTGACTTCCCCTTCAGAAATAACTTTCCGTTATCCTTCCCATTACTTATCGTTTATTACATAATGAATTAATATTTTGCCGATACTTCGAGACACCACCCACAGGCCTGGTCGATGCATCGATCGACAGGCGAAATCAGCTATTAAAAACATCGGAACGGCTTGTAAACCGCATTCGGTCTGTTTCGGGCAAGCAATCCTTCTTCTACTTTTCAGCCTGATGTTTCCGGGTGAGAAGAATTTGAAAACATCGTTCATGCCATTCTGAGACCGATCGCATACGACTTGAAAAATGCAGGGACGAAATCCGTATGTGGCCCACGTCCAAGCTCGCAGAAACCTCTTCCCGCGAAGTGCCTCATCGCCGAGGCGAGTCGAGAGGTGGAATGAAAATCCTCTCATGGACGCGTTGCATTGCCACTTCGTATTGCGCATGCGCGGCTCCCTGAAGCAGTCGAGCAAGCCAATGAGATTGCGCGCAGTGAAAAGTGCCTTCCTTTCAACCCTTGGATTTTCCGAGCTTCTTTCATTTCGTTCTGATCTGATCTGAAACGTTCTGAAGGCTGATTTTTTTTTCGAGACCGTCGTAGAGGACCGGAGTAAACGAACGAGAGTTTTCAAGTCCCACGGAAGAAGCTATGTATCCGTTTGGAAGGAAACTGCAACGTTATTCATGAGAGGTAAAGGCTAATTTATCTTCTAGAATGTATTTTCTTCACGCTGCTATAGCCAACTGGTGAAGTAAATAAACGTGTAGGAAGTTAGGCGTCGACTCTATTAGTGGCTACTACCTTCTCAAAATTTTATGCGAAAAAGTTTCTTATGGTACTGATTTACACCTCCAGATGAAGTCTCTCATCGATGAGTTGGTTGAAAAATGAACCCGACAAGCGAGCAGTACTTCATAACAAAGTACTATTGAAATCGAATTTAGTTGCTGCTGTCATCAGCGTTTTAGAGTTTTTTTTAAATACAATTTTCTCGTAACAATGGAAAATGCGTTTTAATGAGGATTCCCTCACGAAATCCAGGCGCGAAGAATCGGCATCGAATGAAGAATTCCGGGGTCACATGCGACCATTGCGCCCCAAAACAAAGGATTTCAGAGCTTGAAGACCCGCGAAAATTCATGGGATGAGTTCCATCGCATGCATCTTCAGTTGCTTTTGAATTCTGTGATGATGACAATAGGAATCGTTGAGACCGATTTCTCATTCCCTCATAGAGATTTAAAAAAAAAATCAATTAATAAAAGAATTCGATGGTGTACGTGCCTGAGATCCGTTAAATTAAGATTTATCCGTCTGTCTGTCGGATTACTTTTAAAACATCCAAAAGTATTGATAGAATAGTTGAATATATACGTATTACCCATAATGCAAACGAGAAATGAGGATAAAACTGCACCGAGTAGTTTAACGATGACGATAGGAATAGCGACGGAAATGCATCTCAACGCATTCTTAAGTATTTTTCATCCTAATTTCAATTTAAAATGCGCTTTAGCATTGTTCCGATTGTTCCTGCAAGGCATTCCTGCAAGGATAGGACAAGCTTTATGAACGAAATTATGAAAATGAAGCCATTCATCTGTAGAACTAATCAATTGTCCTTCCTATCATTTAGCATTTTTCTTCCACAGTTGGTTTGCGAGGCATTAAAAAACTTTTGATCGCGTTCGCGGTATGATTTAAGCTGGATTTCTCGCAAAAGATCGGATTATGCGGTCTTGGATCGACTACGGTCATGCCAAATAGCATTTCCTCATCGTGCATGAAAAAAGATCTGCTTCTGACCTCGAAAATTTCATGCAGTCGACAGTTTCAAAGACCGTGAAGTCATGCAAAAAAAAGTGGATCCCTCGAGCACTAGCGACATCAAATATCACCTCGATTCAATGAGGAATGGTGGTTCAGGCTTTGGATTAACGCTAGGTCACATTACTGCCAGTCGGCATTTCCCTAAATTTTTTATTCCTTTATTTTCCTTTGTTTCTGGCCGGGTTTCGATTCACCCATTCGTTTTCGTCCATTAATTAAACGTGGGAAGACTTTCACTCTTGCCAAAATCTAAAAAGATGTTCGGAGTTTGAAGACTCACCTTTGCGGAAGCCAAAGTGAAATCGAGACCGGCAGGGATTTCGAACCCGGGGTGGGTGGTCTGGGTGGTCCGAGGATGGTCCGTGGGTGGTCCTTGGGTGGTCCATGGACGGTCCATGGGTGGTCCATGGGTGGTCCAACGGTTCGTGAGGTCTGGATCACTCCCACAAATGCGGTAAGATTTCATGCAAAAGACAAATCAAATGGGGAAGAAATAATTGACTCAAGAGGAAAGCGAAACTTCTTCCTCCTCCCCTCCCTCACCTTCCCCTCTCCTCCCCCCCCCCCCTCACTCCCCTTCACCCCACACCCTTCTCTTCCTCCATTGTTCCTCCACCGGACAAAACAGGCGCACGTTTCCCACCTGGAAAGACTGGCTGGCAAAGTCTCAACAAGTGAATTCCAGGTGTATGACCACTAATGACTCCTTTTTAACACGCAATCAACACCTCAGTGATGGCTTTTTTTAAACACCAATTTATCAGTTTTCTTCCAGAAGCATGGTGATATCTCGACGATTCACCGTATTCGTCCCTATTTCATCCGATAAAAACTCAGGCACATTTCGTTTGTGCATTCAACTGCGACTCGAGCAGCCCTGGGATCGACTGGATTCACATAAATTTCGCGGCAGGAAGTAGGTGTGTCACTCTTTCCACTCATCTGAGGAGATGTCTGTCTGAGGGGATGTCTGTCCCAGGACTGTTTCAGGATAGCGGCAGTCGAAACAAGGCATCCCTTTTTCGAGTTTCAGGGTTTCTGTGAGACTGAAGAGTTGTATTGGAAAGTTATATTTCTCTACGATTAATGTAAAAATGCTGTTTGGGGAAAAAATACAGGCATAATACGGTAGACTTTAACATGGGCTTCTTCCGTGGGAAATGAGACCTGCTTACATTTCCAGAGATGATTACAAGAAATTAAAAAAATTGCATGATTTCCCCTGACAAATGTACTCGGGGCGTTGAAAAATGTCCTGCCCGAGGCACTTCCAGTTGTAATGCACCATGCTTACTCCTCTCAGGGGAAGACAGATGTCTTTGATGGTGACTGACAAATTTCATCGACAAATGCGATGAAATTTGTCAATCTATTCTCTTCTATTCTGTTCTATTGTCAATTCTATGAATTTGTTAAATTTCAATATGTTACCAAAGGGTCTGCTAAGGGGGTATTAAAATCGAGGCGAATGCTGTGATGAGTTTTCAAACCTCAAAGAAAGCGATCTCCTCGCAAATATTTTAGACGAGGAAGATCTGTTTACCAGGATCTCTCCTCTCAGTCGCGGAAAGATCTGCTGGGAAATTCACTCCTTCGAGGCCAGAAAATTTCATCGTGGCATTCGTCTCGGTTTTAATACTTCAGCAGACCCTTTGGTAGCATATTAAAAATAATTAATAGAAGCCGTCCATCATCGCCAAATACGATTAAATTTAGCCAATCGCCATCAAAGACATCTGTTTTCCCACGAGAGCAGTAAGAATAATGTATTACAACTGGAATTGCCTCGGACCGGAAACTTTTTGAGCACCTCTCGTTAGAAATACAACTCACAATCGGGCCGTGCTAAGTCCTGAAAGACCTGCGAAGCCAGAGAGGGGGGGGGGGGGATGCCGTGATCATTCCTTTTCTACGGGGTAATTATAGGGGACTGAGAAGATTTGGTCACATGATTCCAGAGGTTCTCAGCCTTTTATCACCGAAGGCACACTGTCTAGGCGACGTGATATTGGCAGCACCCTCACCTCCAAAAGCAACAAAATACCTTGTAGACCTCAACAAAAGTTGAGGGAAAACCGTGAATATGAAAACTTCAATAATATATATTTCGAAAACGGTTTTTTTTTTCCTCTCTTAAGACGAACGTTTTAAGAAAATTAATTCAAACACACTATATTTTTGCTTATTTCATATCAATGCGATAACCTCGGCAGGCATCGATATTGAAACTTTGAAAGGACAGAAAGAAACAAGAAATCGTCTTCTAGTTGAATCGTGAAAAAGAAACCATCTCAGCAAGACAATTAACAAAAAAATTCAAATTCGGCACCATGTAACGGGACAAAAAATAAATAAGAGCCAAAGCTAGTGCATGAAAGACCACGTTCTATTTCGGTGAAAAATACCAGTGGTGTCCAAGGGCTCCATGGAGCCGACTTAATCTGATGAGTATGACTGAAGAAGACAAGAGACTGGATGCATGCGATTCCAAATCTCATCGGTTACCTAGTCCCTCGCTCTGTCGAATGATGAAAACACGAGCTGGAATGCCCACATACGGCACCCGCGGCCCCCCTCGGTGCACCGAAGGACAAGCTGGAAGCACCCACGACACCCCTACGAACCTCTCTGGCACCCCCGGGTGCCGCAGCACACAGGTTAAGAACCGCTGCACCACTCCATCCCACCCCAGGGGGATGAATAGATGGAATCGGGGATTACGGTAAATGGGGGTTCCAGAACCCACGCTGCGAACAAGAGAAGGCACTCGGAACGAGATCTTTTTTAGGCCATTTTTTCCCCTTCGCCTCTTCCTCGACCCGATGAACCGAATGATGACTCAGCAGGCACTCGCGAGACCTCTTCGGCCCCGAACGAGGTGGATCCCAGTCTCAGTCGGACTCGGACCATGGCAGCGTGCATCTGATCCGTTCCCCGGACCCACCCTCTCCAGGTTCCCACCTATGGTTTATCGTATCGTTGCGGGTGATCGCATCGATTTGATTTATCATCCCCGTTCACTGTGGCTTACATTCGAAGTCCGGTGCAAGCGGTTTTGGAAATTCTCTCTCGCTGACAGTCCCCGACTGGATGTCGGGTGACTTTGTCTTGAAATAGGCTTAACCTTACAGAAAAGGACGCTAATTTTCTATTTCTTCCTCGGCTGCCACATGAATATTTCCGTTTACCCTTGATACCCAGGTTCGAGACGAAGGCTAATTGCGCATCACTTGAAAAAGCGGCTAGTGTTTAGATTTTCAGTTTAACTTACTTAGGATCGTTCAGAAAGTATCGAGATACGTTAGTCAGTCGTTTTAAGACACCATCAAGTGGAGAGATGAGAGCATAAATTAAACCCAAAAAGTTTTACCCCTAGGATGAGTCATTGACTTTCGGCTACAGAAGACGGAAGGTTAACCGTCCTAACCGCGACTGTGAACCCAGGTCGAGATCACTTCTGTGCCGGGATTTTCTCCAACTTCGAGGTGAGCCTAGAGCCCGCTTCGAGACCGCCTTCGGGGAGAGTCTGCCTTCCGAGACCACTCGAGTTGGAGGGTTGCAGTGAGAAATGGTGCTGAGGACTTTCATCACTGGGTGTGAAGAAAAAAAGAGGCGCTCTCGATCTGGGTACTAAGCCATGGTTGGGCGGTCAACCTCGACTGTCTCCTGTCGCTCGAGACAAACGACCGATCCGACGAGCAAGCCAAGCTTTTCGCCAATTTTTTTCCTTATGGAGTGTGTCCCATCTTTCCAAGTGGTGGCTTCATATGGCCACTCCCGTTCGCACGTCTCGAAACTTTCCGAGGGACCCTTCCATTTCCTGTCATCTTCGGCCGGCAAAATCAGCAATCTAACGAAAACCACTGACACTTTACAGAGATCGCGAAAGCCCTCGAGTCCCAGGATTACGATCTTTCACATTCCTGTGTTATTCTTCCGACGCCCTCAGGGATGGCGATATGGTGGTTGGTCGTGGGGATGGCACTGGCCTCAAGAGAAGGGAACGAGGTCGAGGGAGCCAGCGAGCACTGCAAGCTTCGTCCTGTGGTCCACGTCTTGGAATACAAGGGATGCCTCAAGAAACTCATCCCTTCCTTCATGTGCCAGGGCTCGTGCACGTCCTATGTCCAGGTCCGCTGCTCTCCGGTTCTGAGTGTATCGAATGTCAAATAAGTTACCAACTACGAAGAGAAGGGATGAGGTCGGGCAGGCAAAAACGAATGCAAAAATGTCATATAGATGAGTTTCGCAAAAGAAAATATGCGCAGAAGAGGAGCAATGAAAATTTCCAAAAATAGGCCTTCAGTTATGCAAGCCAAGTTTTTGACTACTTGAGGGATTATACTCGACCCATGCGTTCGGTTCCTCGTCTACTCACTTTTTATTGTCAAGACATATAAATGTAACGGAGTTTGTCCAAAATGAAGGCTTTCACCTGAAAAAAAAAACCACAATTTGATCAATTCGAAATTCAACGCGAATGGATCTTCTTTTTCTGACCTAAGAAATGCCACTCTTATGAAGAGTCTGAGAGAAGATGCAGATGCAAATGCTCATGGTCTAAGGGAAGTTCCAAAAATTATTGAAAGAAAGCTTTTTCTCGGGTTTCAATCGATCGATTTCATAGAGACTTTTCTAGAAGCTTCACACGTTGGATGCGATGTCCCCCGTCAATTTCCCGGCGACTCGATTCTCCAGCAGTCACGTAAAGACCCCGATACCGATACATTCGTCTGTTTCACTTTGCAAGATCTCGTCTGATGTGATGCTGCATTTGTCCACTCGCCAGCGAGCATTCACCGATTGTATTAGAGTTAGCCACTTTTCTTCAACCAGGGGCAATTTACGTACTGGCGCCTCCATCTTCTCTCAGACCGTTCAAATACTCGTCTGCCAAAACGCAACTCCAAGGTGTCGAGCGATCTTGAAATCTGATACATTGACTTGCAACAGTGCGTCGTGAAATCCAAGCGATCCACTTAGGTTAACACGTTGGCGACAATGCGTCCTGATGCCAGGATGCAGATTTTTTTCAATGAATACTTCTGGAACTGTTGAGAACGTTCCAGAAAATGCGCGTGGTCCCACGCGGCGGACAAGCAAAAATAGGCTGCTCGTCAACGTGTTAATTGGTATGCAAGCATCAGCTCCATGCATCGGTTCGGTACCTGCATCGAGTTGATGCATATCAAGCATCCCAATCGCCGTTCGTAGACGAAACGCTCGAAACAAGTTGACGAAGACACCTTCTTAGATTTTTCCTCGCAGTTTGCATGGCTTCACAGTTGGACGATCGACAACAACCCCAGCGCTTGGCCCCAACCCTTAGCGAAGAGCTTAAGGGAAAAAAATGAAAGCAGCTTTTAATCGTGACTCCATTCCTCTGTCGCTCGGCGACTTTTCTCTGCATCATTTCATCACACAAGCTTCAAACTTTCCCCGATTTTCCAAAGTCTTCCAGAGCTCCCGTTCAGAATTTCATCGATAAACTCAACGTCTCGAACGATCAGCCCGCTCATCGGAGCGTTTGACGATATCTCTTTATAAAATGTTCGTCCCACACCCTTGAAACCCAAAACGATTTCATGACGCGATGCTGCCAACTTGGACACCGGATTTTATCAGGATCGCTCAGCCTTTTGGTTTTGCATTTTTTGTCGACAATGCATGCTTATGAAAAAGAAGAAAATGAGGATATTTAACGTCAGCAAAGGACACGCTTTTGAAAGTATGAATATTTGATCAAATTTGGCTTTGAGGACAAAACCGGGTAAACTTCTTCGCTTGCACATTGCGTAATCGCACAAAGATCACTTTAAACACGAGAAAAGAAAAGTGATTTCTGACGACGTTCGGCAAAAGCCTACTCCTTATGCCTGTTCTTTGATACGAACCGACGTCGACTCGGTCCTGTAGACTTTCGTTACGAATCGATTTCTTCCACTTCGGAATACGATATCGTCAGTCTTAGTTTACTGAAGGCCGAAACGAGGATGCGGAGGACGCGCAGTGACTGACCAAGGACAAGCTGCCAAGCATCCTCCAAGCATCCTCCAAGTATTCTCCCTTTTATTGCCGTCCCCTGCCGATCTCCATTTCCATTTCATTGCTTGGAGACAGCGGGGGCAGCAGGGGCAGTGAGGACAGCGGGGACAATGAGGACAGTCCATGCCTTTGTTGAAGATATTCTCGTCACGTGCAGGTATCGGGCTCGAAGTTGTGGCAGACGGAGAGATCGTGCATGTGTTGCCAGGAGAGCGGGGAGAGGGAGGCCACCGTCACCCTCTTCTGCCCCAAATCCCGACCCTTGGAACCCCGCATGAGACAAGTGAGACCGTCCCACTTTTCGTTCCGTTCCGAAAAGCCATGCGATTTCCTTCGCGGCTCGTGCGAGGATCTCACGCCCCCTTTTTTTGTGTAAAATTACGGTTTGCAACTTTCTCCCGTGTCATCTTTGAACTCGTGAATTGCAAAATATCGATTTGGGATGAAATAACCCGATTTTGCACGGCGCCTTTTCGAGTTCTGTCGATGCCTTCGATCGCGGCGAGAGAGAAAATTCTCGAGTGAGTCGATTCATAAACCTATCGGATTAAGCCTATCGAATTAAGAAAGAAAAAGCCGAAACCCTTTGGCACAAAAAAGGTAATAATCGCGTGGGTTGAACCCCCGATGCACGTACAAACAAGGTTTTAAATCCCCAGCGAATGCATTAATGACGAGCAGATCGAAATTTGATCCTCCCGAGATTTTCTTTTTTTTTCCCCCCCTCGTCTCGCGATCTCCGCCATGTCACGATTTCTTCCTCTCGTCGAAGCCGAAATTGCGGGAAGAATCGGTCGAGAGGGGGCAGTCGGCGTCGAAAACGTCGGGTGCATCTCGAGCTCTTCTTTAAAATATTCATTGAATCTATCTCAGAACATAAATCATCATAAATAATGATTTATGTTTCTCGGGCGGTTCTTGCACTCCAAGTCTTGTTCCTTTGCTCTTCAATCTCTTGCGCACCGAAGGGCTTTCAGCAGAATATTTTTCTTTAATTAGCAAATGTAGCAGCTTGCCATGGACGTTCATTATGGCATATTTAGAAACAATTTTGGAGTGCTTCATCACGGAGACGAGGCACAGAAAGTACTCGAGGCCTCAAAAAAGCAGAGTTACAAGACGAGAGGTCTCAGAGAGTGACAAATTTGTCAGACTCAGAGGTACAAGACCGTCCGAAAGAAAAAGAAAGCCATTTTCAAATGGTCTTGCTTTTCTTTCGGACAGTCTTAGTTTTTCGTGAGGACGATTCCTATATACCTCGTGAGATCACTTCAGAAATTTCCATTTGTGACGTAGAGTGAATTCCTCTCTAGCAGTAGTGGAAGTCCATCGGAACCTCATTTCTGCAATCTGCCCAGTGAAGTAGCGAGGGGGGGGGGGCTGGGGGGGCTTCAGCCCCTCCAAGTTTGGTTCAAGGCACCTCCCAACTCCGGTCTAAATGCATCCGCCACCTCCCCCCCCCCCTCCCCCGGACGAGGAGAATATAAGCCCCCCCATTGGCAAAATCCTGGCTACGCCACTGAATCTGCCTTCCAGCTTTTGCTTTTGTATCTGCCACGTACTCCGTCCGGAGTACGTGGCAGATGCAGACCAAAAACGAGTCACGACGAGCAGACCCCTGTATTTCCCTCATCTCGATCTCCTCCATTCCTTTCTCAGTCCCTCCAACGATCACAACCGTCTCTTAACCTCGTAAGAGTCAGATGGCATGTACATGAGCCAAATCCTTTCGCTTTTTTCTCCGGGTCTGAGGGGGTGAAAACGATCGTATGCAGCTCAAAGAAGCTCTCCACTTGGATCCAGGATGCATTCACTAAATGAGTCCTTCGCTGAATCGCTTCGCTCGAGGTACCGATCAGAGTAGTAGGGAGTAGGGAGAGGGGAATTTTTCGTCTGGGATAAAAACATAGATATCACAGACCTTATTTTTAAAAATTAATGCAGGTGCTTTTTACATGTAAAAAGTCGAATGTGAACCTGAGCATAGTGAAGGGGGGAGGGGGCGGTCGTCCCTCCCCCCTCCCCCTCCGCCCTCCCCCTGGATCCGCCACTGGGACAGACAGCAATATGAATCTCACGCGCGATTCGCTTTCCCTTACGATCATCGGCGCGAGGGCATTTTCCAGCTATTTTTCTCTGTCGACGTTTTTGTGGCATGATAAGGGAATGATTTTCCTAAGGAAAAAAAAAACCTTGAAAATTCCGGTTTAAAAATCCATATCTGTGTGACCCGAAAGGGCCCAGAGGGACAGAACTAAGATGCAATCGGACAGACACGAACATGCACAATAAACACGCAATTTCAGTCGCAGCGATATGACAATATTTTTTTTATTGGAAAGCTCAGAATATCCTTGCATCCAGGCCAACAATAGATCCTCGAAATAGATCTAGGCCGAGAATCGCATTCGATCTGGCCTCAACTCACACGTTCTTCTGGGATTTTCTCTTCCTTTCTTTTCGTTTCGTTTTCTTGCGGAAAAAGTGAGCAAAAATCTGAAATCAAATGCGTGCTGTTGCCGATAGCCGATGCAAGCTTCGATGCGAAATCGAGTGCAGAAAACCGGTGCCGTGTAGCAGCCTCGAAGCAGTTACGTAAACTTTGCAGAGATGGCGCCAGCGTATTCTCGACTCGCATTCACCGCAGCATTCAGACGTCAGCATTTTACAAAATAAAAACGAATTGTAATAGAGGAAATCGAGGGCTTTCGAATGATGTATTACAGAGGAATTTGCAAATATGAAAGATCATTCGGGTCGGGTCAAATATCAACTCTGAACAAATTTTCAGTTTCCTTATTTACAAAAAATTCTGAATGGAATGATCTATCGTTGATGAAAACGGGTGAAGAAACCTGGGAGAAGTTGACCGGACGAAACCCGATCGTGCAGACGTCTGCAGGTCGTTATGCATGTAGATGTTTCTCTCCTGTCTCTATCTGGTGCTAGTGCCGTCGGAAATGGGATGGAAGTAAAAAAGGGCGTGTGGATATGAATGTCGACGGGGAAGGAAAGGAAACCGTCCAGCAGACAGGCTAAAAAAGCTAGATTTCCAGCCGATTTCCCCTTCCTCGGCCCATCGGACGGCCCTTTTCGCTCTCTCTTCATCATCCCGTGCCGATGAAATCCTCCGAGGGTGAGAATCCTTTCGAGGCCCGTGAATCGCATCGAAAAGGCATACCGCATCGTAAAGAACGAAGCCGGAAGGAATCGGAGGGAAATGGAGGAAAGGGAGTCGTTCCGGCCAGAAGCTCCAGGGGGATTCCGCTCGTATCGTCTCGGAATGGGCGGACTCCATTCATTAGAAGACATCTGGCGGCGAGGAGCCGAAGCGACGGAGGGACGGCGCAGTCACCTACTTAGCATTGGCTTCTATGGGATACGAGATTCTTTTCCCTTTTTCATGGGCGTCACGTGGCAGGGGTGGTTTTCTTTTTCGGTGACGAATGATTTCGGCCCCGAACGATTCGGTGACGATCCACGGAAGTTCGGGGCTGGAATGATGTCCAAATTTCATTTGATCGTTTCTTTTTCTAGGGCGGAAACACGCAGCGTCTTTTCTTCCAGTTCCATCATTTCTTCACGGAATTGTGAGATATCGTTCAGCATCAAAATCGATGCGTGTTTCACTTCGCGGACGCACGTTGAGCTCTTCGAAGCCCCAACATTCACAGATATTTTGAGATTATTGACCCAAGAGAAAGAATGCCCACTCCACGACATCATCTATGGTTTTCTCAACCGAACACCCCTAATGAATAGAGCAGGAATCGGGTTGATGGAGCGGGAAAGAGGAGACTTGAGGACTTTTTCCCTTCGCATTCTCTCTTGCCATCCGAGTCCACGAAGGCGACATCGAGTTTCACTGAGAAATGAGTCTTCTTGCGGTCTCACCGCCTCGGTCGCGGGGTACGAAATGTAAAATGTTCTCTTCAGTAGGGCATCGATTTTCCGAACGTCAATCATCCATTCGGCCAGAAAAAAAGCTCGGCAGGCCCAGACACGCTGGAATTCCCCGACGATCGCTCGAGACTGAACCGCCCGAAACCGAAGAAGACTGCAATTTGCAACCGGATGCTCCCTCCCGGTTATCATCAGTGCCTTCATCGGTTCTCGACGTACAAGTAGCGCACAGGTCTTTGTTACCGTCCACTCCGTAGGATGCTATGACAACGGCAGACCGAAGGAAGGAAGAACTGCATGTGATCACGTTGCAGTGTTCATAATGGATCGTGTTGATGAGCGAAAATAATTTCATCATCCGGACGTTCTCAGGACTTAGTTCGGAAAATCAACGCTTTACTATAGTATATTTGCGTGGTTAAATTTAAATTATTTGCCACAGCTGTACTTCGTGATGATAGGGTGGAGGGGGGGAGAAGGGCGGGTGGGGGGGGGGAGGTGAGTAACGGACTTTCCCTTCATACTCAGAAAAATTGTTCACCACCAATGTTCGCATGACCTGTGAATAACTCGCGAAACGTCTCTGTAACCTATTTGAAAACACCAGCACTCACCAGAATGGCGTGGAAAAGTGCTTTCTTGGCGTATTCTCTCCTTGCCTTCGACTACTAATCGTTGACTCAAGCGTGAGGCTGAACACGGTTTGCTTTTTCTGGAGCATCTCGACCTCTTGCATTACACCTCAGTGAACGCTGGATATAGACATATGGGGGAAAAAAGGTTTTCCGCAGGGTTTCTCTTCCTTCGAAGACGTCTGCTGGAAACTGCACGAGAGACGTGCTATGGGCCAGTTGTGATTTTCACGAAGTTCAAATCGCAGCTTTACTGTAGTTCCATTCTAGCCGACCGATGCCTCTCAAGTGTTTCAACTAATGCCAGTCGAAAGCAAACGACTTGTCCGACTTCGGTCAGCTCGGTTCGAGCAGCCTCCAAACTTTTTCACGGTACACTGTTAGGAGAAAGGATTCAGAGTTCAACCTCGGTGAAGGATAAACCGTAAAAAAAACGGTTAAATAACTATGAATAACCATCTAAAAGGGTTAGTTGGATGCTCATTTTAAATGCGATGAACTCTTTATATATATATCGAGCGAAAGGGTTAAACATTTAACTAGGAGAGTTAAATCTTGTGAGTGGATAAATGAATATCCATGAGAACAGGTATAAACATGTTTCCCCTTTAGGTTAAACATGTGAAACACTGAAAGACCATTTCCCCAATGGTCTTTCGAGGAAAAATAAATCGTTTCTCCAGCTCAAAAGGACATAGGTAATATTTAAGTGATCGTCTTTTTCAAAAGCGAGGGAAAGTAGTGCATGTACAAGGTGGTCCATATGTATCAGGTTGCTGGAATGTCATTGATCTGGTATGTGCATATGCTGTAAAAAAAAAAAAACATGGGACGCATGATCCATCCCGAAGATGAACCAGTTTCTCACTTTCGTAAAACCCTCAAATGAATATTTAAAAAAAGGGCCCCTGCAATCCTGCAAGACCAATTATCAATTATCTCAGAAAATTTTTCAAATCTACCATCAAGAAAATCAATGAATATATTCTTTTTGAGGCTGCATATTTATTCCCAAAGATCTTCTTATAAAAAGAAAGTTCTTATAGAAATTGTTTGTTACCGACCAGAGTTCAGGTTTTAACCTTTTCAGGTAAAACAGAAGAAACTTTATACTGTAGATGACGGTGAAACACCATTTGCAAGGGTTATTTGTGCGATGTAAAGTTCCCTTTTAGACTACTAGATGGAGTTATGGTGCTACTGTTTCCCACAGTACATAGAATAGACCTTTCCTCTTTCCCGGGAATCCCCCGTAAAGGTATGTTATGTCATCTTGTCCTTCGTTTCGCCTTGCCTCATTATAGGAAGTAATAAACGTGGACGTTTCTTCATTTATTATTCTCATATTCGAGACAGATCCTGGATCAAACAGTAGCCCGTACATATTTACATTTGCACTCAATAAACAGTGTGTCCTCAAATCATTCCCGAACTTATTCGTCCTCACGACTGGATGATGTAATTGGCGAGTGACGTCTAGAGCACTCATTGGGGTTAGAGGAAAGCCTCTCACCTTCGTGGTTACATGTGTCCTCCAAAGGTTATATATTTATTCACGACGGTTAATTATTTAACCTATCAAAAAGGATAAATATGTAACCCACAAAGGATAAATATGAGTTGCAGTTGAAACACCTTTTAGGAGTTAAAAGCTGAACCATTTTTGCTAACAGTGTAGTCTGCACGAAATTCTTGGGATGCTTCTTCTCATTTTAGACCAGGCGGAAATTTCTAAAGCCATGCAACGGAGATGATCCGATAGAGGAAGCACAAAAAGTGATTCAAAGACCCTCGCCCCCGCTTCCCCCCCCCCCGCACAGCATTCTGGCTACTTCTCCTATCCCCCCTGCCCTCCTCCCCCTCCCCCAACCCCCCCCCCCCCCTTTTTCTCCCCACCCCACGAAATACAGTAATGAAATACCACGTCACGAGTATCTAGTGGAGAAATTTCGTGGATTAAAGTCACGAGCCAGCATAATTTAAAGCTTTCGTCATCTCCTTCATGCACTTCCCTTTCGTCGCCCCCTCCCAACCCTTTCTACCCTTTCCACCCTTTCCACCCTTTCACCCTTCCCTTTCCACCTCGGAACATCGGAACCGATCGGATTCGTTGTGGTCTAGGTGCTGACCCGGGCCCCGAAGGACTGCATCTGCAGGGCATGCACGGCCGTGGAGGAGACTGCCGTCCAGGCTCAGGAAGTGGTCAACTTCGTCTCCGATCCGGGACTTCAAGGCTTCACCGCTTGACCGACCGTCGTTGATCGTATTCCTATCTATTCCATTTGTGTCATCCATATCGGTGTTTCGGTGTCGTGTCGGAGCGCGAGATTCCAGGGCTCGAGAAGGAATAAAACCTGTGGTTTCATGCAGATTTCAGCATACTCGCACTTTTCGCGAATTGACATACATTTCATTCGACTCAAAAAGAAGGATCGCACGAAGGTCTGCTTATTGAATGTCTTTAATATTGCATTTTATGCGCAAATATGAATATTCGTTTCTCACAGAGCTTTCCACCGGTACGAAATTTGGAACGAAAGAAGTTGCAGGTAAATGAATCTTCGTAATCGTGATTGTCATATTCATGAGATTGCCAGCGAAATGCAGCCGGTCGCCGCCGGTGCACCTCCTCTTTAACGTCGACTGTCGTTCGTCATCATCGTAGAAGAAAATGCGATACTGAGGGTCGGCTTGCACGCTCTCGGCACGACTGAAAACCTTGCCTCCGACTCAGAAGAGAACTTCGTCGGGAGCATCCTTTCGCAGAGAAATCGTTATTTCATTCGGTCGCCTTTTTCCACCCGAGTAAACGAACGTTAGAAAAAAAAAGAGGTAGCCCAAGATGGGATGAGAGAAGATGGACGGCTGCGCAAGGAAAGAAGGAGGAGGATGGAAGGATGGATGGGACGGGGGGGAGGCGGATATCGATCCATGAAAGGGAGAAAGAGCAAGATGGCGCAGGGCCAGGGTCCACCTCTCCACCCGCTCCTTCTCTTTCTCCATCGTTTCCGATGACCTCGCGATGGAGGCTCCGCCGTGATTGAAGGCAAGGCTGGCTCGATCGCTCGCCTCCACCTCCACCGGCCCCAAGGACAAGGACGGCAGGGATGGCGTGATGTCCGGCGAGGTGAGTCCCCATCAAGGTCGCTGCTATGACCTTGACACACTCTACCCTTATGGATTCCTGCATCCGTGGCGCATGCCATTTTATCTATTCTCTCTCCTCTCGCACCGTTTCCCCTTCTTGCTCGCACACACACGCCACGTACTATTTCCGTATTCCCACCCCGAGAAGTTATTTGCAGAGATGCGTGTGTTTTTGTGGCACGGACTGGCAGGAACGTCGGGGACAGACCCCGACCGGTCGTCATGTCACCCGCAACCGGCCATTAATGTCACTTCGGCGGAGACATCGGTTCCCTGTTAGAGTGAATCTCTGCCGTGGAAACGCCGTCTTCTGCTCTTTCCTCCGTTCTTTCGGTCTTGTCTTTGCACGAAAGAATGCTGAAAGAATCCGCTGTCCTTTCGAAGGTACGTCTCGTGGCAGCCGCGAGTACGGTCCCCCCGTGTGTTTTTAAGAACCCCCACGCATGCAACATCGTGACACCCCCGAACGATGCAGAAAATAGGACCAGGAAAGTATGCTATTATTTGCAATGGAGAGATTGCGATGTCTGCCGCCCTCACGCGACGGCCAACTCTCGTGTCATCGATAGACTCCTTTGAGTTCACCCAGGTCAGACCCACCGTTCCCAAGTCTATTTTCTGCTCCCGGAGGATCTCCTCTCCCCCAGTGAATCCTCCCTCGACTTTCCACTTTCCACCTCTCAAACTGAGATGCCACAAAAAATGGATTCCTATGGGACTCCAGGGATTCTCACCTCTGCCAATGTCATCCCGTTCGACTGCAACTCACCTGTTGGTGTAAGAATAAGGGACTGGTTTCATCGGAAAAGAGCTCTCGTCCTGTCGTTTGTAACTCTTGGATCGACTTCTAACAGCTGCAGTACCGTTCTGTCCATAAATCTTCGTGCGTAAGTGTGGAAAACCGTTCCCAAGATTTCTACTTTGGTTCAGTCTTCCACCGCCGTCCATCGTGGACGTGAAGGCAAGACTCCGATTCGCGAGATATTTACTCGTGATCAAACGTGTTGGCAGGCAAACGTTTTACATTTTTTTGCTGCTTCGTTTTCATTAGCAAGCATTTATATCGATGCCATGCGGACCTTGCATGACCGTAGCCGCATGGCGAAAAGTAGAAACGGGTCAGGAATTGCACGGAAAGGATATTTAGTATTCTTGTAGTCTTTCCTCAACGAACGGACTTGCATAGACTCCCGCACGAACGACATTCGCACCCCCTAGGAGTCTTGCATGGATTTCGCATGGGTCTCGAACCGGTTTCGGTCCGTTTAGGGTTGGGGATCTCGAGGGTCTAGGACGGATCGTCTTTGTCGTCTCCCGTTTTTGGTCATCTCGTCTTTCATCGCAATTATTCAGTCTGATGCTAAACGCGTAACACCGTGACCGAATGTGGGAGTTGCTTCTTCGAGGCACCAACAGATGCGGAATGACCGGGAAAAATGGGATCAGCAGGTCATACTGCCTACCCAGACCGTGGGACTAAAGTAAAAGCTGAAAGGTCATTTCAATCTTGAAGAAAGGCTGAAAAAGGAGCCAGCCAAAGTACAGGGTGAGCCATAAGTGACCAAGCAATTTTTTTTCTTATATTTCCAAGTTTTTTGGGGATGGAAGCATGATATTGTGCGATATCGGAGAGCAAACCCTTTTCAGAGCTCAGCGAATTTGCAGCAAGAATTGAAACGATTGTTTCCAGGCCATGCTGTGCCTAGTCGTGCACAAGTAATACCACTCGCAACAAATTTTGGGGAAATTCAAGTGTGACAGACGAATGATCGCCTGATCGCCCTGTAACTCAACCGACTGCTAATGGATTGGAAGACGAGATTTTCAGATGGAGCGGGCGGGCTGCCCACTCCAGATCAAATATCTCATGCATTTTTTTTTATTAGGGGGGGGGGGGTGATGGGGGTTGGGGGTGCAAGGGCTCTTGCAAGCAATTTCCCAGGGGTGCCCTAAGGCCCCCAGTCCGACCCCCCCTGCACTTCACCAGTTACCTGAAAATTCCGAATTATTGCGGATTCGCCTTTACTTCATTTTGGCAGCTAAACATTATTACATAAGCAAAGATGCCCTGCAAAAGTTCCTTTCGAACAGCAGGGTGCCCAAGCATTTTATTTTTTTTAACATAGTGTAACACTTGATGGTGCAGCAGTAAGTATCGAAGTATGACTTCCTTTGACTGCTGATGTGAACATCCAGTCGAAACTAGAACTAAGGAAAGGGTTCAAGTTTGATCACGAAGAGCAAGTTTGTGAATATTGGAGTGAACAACAGTAGGGCAGCTACCTGTCATGAATGAAATGATCAGCACAATTCAAGAAATTGGGTTCTGGAAATAAGAGTTTTCAATCCTCTATGAGGCATGGGCATTCCCTCTAATCAGAATAAAATCACTGGATTCTGAACAGGAATGAGTTATGCTGAACCTGCAGCTACAGAAAATCCATTCAATGACTGAACAGAGTTGACAAAGTTCTTTCTTCACCTGATCAATCTGGACAAGGATGGACATACTGACTCAATTGCTAGGGTCAAGTTGGCCACCACATGGGTTATTCAGGGTCAAGTTGGCCACCACATGGGTTATTCAGGGTCAAGTTGGCCACCACATGGGTTATTCAGGGTCAAGTTGGCCATCACATGGGTTATTCAATGAGAATCCACCCTTTTGCAGACTAGGAACATATCACTGGGGAGTGGTTTTCCTCTTTCTCTCTCACTCTTATAAGATTCCAATCATGTTTTTGTCAGAATGAGGCGTTGAAGAAGGAGCCAGTCATGTAAGCGGGTGGAGACGGACTTCTCCCGCAGTAATATGGCAGCAGCTCTTTCGAGGAGGTGATCATTGCGTCTCAGGTACATGATTGTGTCCTCCTGCATCTGGAGGAACTTCTCTTCACTTGTCTCATCTAGGTCCACCAACTCTCTCAGATATGGGTTTAAGCGAAAGTAGATGTGACCTGGGATGAGATCCTGCAGCATAACATGAACACCTGAAGAGACAAACAAGTCTAAATGTTGAGGATTTACATAATAATAATCAGTAACCAGTGTAACTATCATATAACTAGTATGTTTGCATACGAGTCACATCATATCCAGAAAAACTGACCTTCTGTGTCGGCAGCAGAGTCCAACACAAGGAGGAGTTTCCTCTTGATGGAAGTAGGTGAGGGAGAGGGAAGGGTATTATCATGTGACTGGCTCTTGCCTGTTCCTAACGAAACTACACACTCCAGAGGAGAATTAGGCCAAAGGAGGCGTGCTTCGTGCAAAGCTATCCCACATGGATTGTTCATAAGAATACCTCCATCCTGCACATCAAATGCCAATCGTTCAATCCTCTTTAACTATTTCAGGAATTTAGGTTAATGAACATCAATTTTGCCATATGCTCTGACAGACCTGATGAATGAGATCACCTAGAGTGAACTCTTCAAAGTACCCTGGAGCAGCTGCAGATGCCCGACAAGCCTCCCACAAACGTACACTGCAGCTCCCCATGTATCGGCTCTGTGCACGATGTGGGGGCATGTAGTTGCGGAACACAAATGACTTCAACTTCCCCATGTTCACCACAGCTGATACCAATGCCACCTAAAGTAGAGATTAGATTCATTAAATGCAGGCAAACAAGCTGAAACTTATGAATCATGGAACCATCTTCCTTTTTTCACAAAATATATCATAAAAAAGGTATGGAGACCATTAATTATAGAAAAATAAGGTTAAGCAGTAAAAGCCCAAATGGTAACATAACCACAGGAGTAAGATTTTTCATATTGGTGGAGAAGGAAAAAAGAATTGCTTTGATTAATTTGGATGCAACCTTCTTAGCCATTCATGGCCTCCCCCCCACTTCAAGCAAATTAAGACAATGGAATGTCATCATGGTTGCATTATACTATTTAGTTCAGGGAAAATATTTGCTTTCATATGGGTAACTGTAAGGCATTTCAAAGGACAAACACTGTCAAGGCTTCACTTAGCAAGCATATAATAAAAGCTAAGGAAAACAATGAGGATTCAGCATTTTTTACATCAATCTGAAACCAAGAAATGATGCAAACAAAAATAATATATAATGCACATATTTGATGGGTGTACAAGTGATTCAAATTTGTATTTCATAGGGTTAGGATTCTCTCAGGGTGTCCAAAGAGTAAAGCACTCTTAATTGGGAATACCCTGTATCAAGAGGTTTTTAAATAGTCCCTAGCTTCTTCCATAGCGTGCTGATTAAAAAAATCATCTTTCATGCTTTAAAACCAAATGTAATCCCTGTTACACAACATGACAGGGTCTCATAGTGCACTAAGCATATTTGACTGAAGCATAATTGCACCGTATTCAAATACATTCTGGATGGAATCATGTGTCAAAGTATATATATTTTTTTAGTCAAAGAGCATAGACAAATTGAGCAAACTTGCCAGATTGCAAGCATAACATATCCACCAATCAAAGTCACTTGCTGGCATTATTTGTTTTGGCTCAGAGAATAACCACCTATGCAAACATTTTTTGCACTACATATTTGGTTTTTAAGGAAATTATATCTGCCATTGTTACCCTGAAAGTGACAGACCCTGTTGCTTTCAAGGTAAAAAGGGTAATAAAAAGTGGCTCACTACCATTCAAGGCATGCAGCCACTCCAGGTCAGTTTATATTATGTATATGAGAAGCCTGAAAAGTTTCTGGAATTTCCAACATCTTCCCTTGAACTTGATACTTTAATGACTAGAAAAGATGAAATCAAGAATCAATGGCATCACAGCTTGCATAGTTCTTGCACTATAGGATATCAATGTCAGGAACTGGATGTGGATGCATGACACAACTTAAGTGTGAACCCATGTGATTTATAAGTTATATAATCTCCTATGGTCAACATGTCATTGTGCTTGGTGGAGAATTATTGCAAAGCAGTCATGAGTGAGGAAAATCACGTGACATGACCCTCCCTTAGGCAACAATATCTCATATCTAATCAACATTGTATGAGAAATTCATTACTAAAACTTGTCTTTTCATATGGGTTGGGCTGGTGTACATGAATATGTGAGGAAAAATTGTGCATGCACTCCCTTTTAATTAAAACATGAGAAAATCAGTTTGCATTGGTTAATCAGGAATCAATAGCATTAAATCCTCAACTAGGTATGATGCCTTAATTTTAAGGTAAGCAATCATCAAGGAATTCATATTAGAGATTTTGTTTATTCTCATTTACACTTTACAAGCAACACAAAGTGGGTTTCAAGGTATTGAGTGAAGCAAAAGAAAAGAATGCAAATAAAATCTCTCAGCACAACTTTGCAAATGTCTCATTAATTGCATCGTTTGCAAATTTCTCATTTCACAAAAAAAGGACAACAAAACTTAGATCACCCTCAATGCAGCACTGTTCACCAGGAAGTTATACTTTTATTCATATAAAGATGAATATCTCAGGAACTAACTGACAGATCTTCCTCAAATTTTCAGGTTATTTACAACATATTTACAAATATATACAGGTATTTTTGGATGCTGTCAGACTTTAGTTTTCTACTTCAACTCCCTTTTCATCACTGGTTCTCTAGTCATTATCATTATCACTATCATTGACATCATTACCACCGAGTTCACATAAAATTTCACTTCCACCAGAACTGTCAGAGTCACTGAAATACAATCATATAACTCAGTTTCAATTTCCTCATTTCTAAGGGTAGCCATTTTAACAGCTCACCAACAGCCTTCAGAAAAACATTTATTTTCTACTGATTCCATTTTACCACTGTCCTCTATGTGACATGGTAGAAAACATAAATATATGTACAAAAATGCTAGGCATCAAGAAGTTAACCAACCATTCAACAGATGGCAATACAGGCTTCAAAACAAGACAGGCGCTTTGGCCGGAAAGGGAAAATGGCTCTTGGGCACTTTTGGGTGTTCAGGCTGGGAGAGGGTTAAGCAGGGATGCCCACATCCCCTAGATGTGAGGGCAGAGGTGAATGGTGGATGCAGGGGGTATGTAGGGAGAATAAGGTTAAGAACCCCTGCCATAGATCATGAGAAGTTCATCAATTTGTCTCTATTTGTTAGTCACATTCTTCCAACGTTGAAGGTAATGAGGCATGTATGGGAGGAGAAGTAGCATTTAATTCCAACCCCTCCTAGGGCAATTACCTGATGCCCAATGAGCGGAGGGTGATAGGTCACAGAAGCACTACAGTTGCAAGGGCAGATGTACCGAAATGTACCAGTAGATTCTATTGAAGCAAGAGGGCAGTTCATAGCACCATTGGTTCTAGATCTACATCTACGTAGTAATGATGCCAGTGATAGAAAAATGGGAAATGGATTTAAGTCTCACCTTAGGAACAAATGGATCTGCAGCTGTGTCGATGAGATTGACATCACCAAGTTCTCTCTGAAGAAGCTGATCCCAGACCTTAGTATTATAAAGGCTGTGATTCCAAAGCACACTTCCAGTCGACTTCCAGGACCAGGGTTGGAATACCTCGCGTCCAACACCCTTCAAGATCCTTTCTGCTTCCTCTGTACTCTTCTTTAGGGCCCCTGGAAGGGGCAGAAAAAGTCCCCAGTGTCAGATGAGAGAATTAGGTCTACTTTTGAAGAGAAGCAGGGAGAAATTCTAATCACCCAAGAGAATGGCCAAGATGCTTCCAACACTCACACCACAGATGAGATCAAATAGTTCATAAGTCCGTTTTCCTGTCTTCTCTTCCATGCGCTTCAATGCCTCCAAGGCAACTAGACCCCTGCACATACTTTTCTTTCAAGCATCATACATCACAACCACAAGAAGCTATCAACAAATTGCAATGTACTTTTCAAATGCTATATCAGACAACAACTGCAAATAAAAACTATGTCTAACCATGACAGAAAGGGAGAGTTGAATAATTAATACATACCGAAGGCCGCCTCCATCAATGGAGAGAATTCGAATCCCATTTCCTCGAGTCGGATGTGAATGACCAAGGAGCAAGAGACATTTTCTTAATACAAGGACCACTTCTTCATCTCTAGTCAGCTGAATTATTCTGCACAACTTCCCTTCACCACCATTCTGAGGAAATCAGCACATGTTGAAGGGATACATGCTTTTACTAGGTTGTAACAAAATTTTTTGTGCATACAAACAACGCAACAGTCTGTGAAGCACGATTTTTTTGTCACACATTCTGAATGAAAGCACGTTTTATGCAGAGTATAAATATCTGATTTTTTTTTACAAATCGCTAAATTTATTTTTTTAAATTACAGCGTTCAGAATGTGTGACGAAAAAAATCGTGCTTCGCGGACTGTTGCGTTGTTTGTATGCACAAAAACTTTTGCTACAACCTAGTAATAAGCATAGGATACAAGGCAGGATTGCAATCACTGTAAATGAACTGTAAATTTTTGAATTTTTCATTTCAAATTGAAAAGTTTTTTTTATCACTGCTTTTTTGTTTTTGATGCAGTCAACAAGGTGGATATCTGTAAACTTTTAGCATTAAAATTCTAGGCTACTGAGCTGTATTATAATAAAAAATTTTGAAATTGAGACCAATGAGACAAAAGTTTGGTTCTAGGGCAATAGGGGAAAGGCCAATTGCTCAAGTGCTTACACAATTAAATGATACTGAAAGTGTCACATTGAATTCAGTTGCATCAATGTTTTTGGCTCACTCCATGATATATTGAAAATGACATAGAGGCTATAATTATTTCAAGGCTGACTTTCATCCAGGACATAAATCCTGTGTGGATTTATGCCTCATTCACAGTAAACACAGACAAACAACAATGCCCAGATAAAAATAGCAATAGACTAAACAAGGAGCTCATTTCAGAGAACAGTTGGATTTACTTCTTGAGAATAATAAGACTTCTTACATTGAAGTGCACATGATAAGATCTTTCACAGCCTCTTCTCCTTAACTGAATGCTGAATGATGACAAAAGCCCATTTGAAAATAAAAGATAATAATATCTTTCATGAAATACTCATCTATGAAGAAAGAAGGGAAACCCACTAGGTTGTCTCTGAGGGAGAAAGTGTCTTATCGAGTGTTACCTCTCTATTCAGACCCCAAGAAGGAAACATATGAAAAATGAATGCTTCAGGCATGAATCATCTCCTCCAGAAGACCAGTGGAAGTCATCTTAAAATTCTGGCTTTAAGCACCAGGGATTGTCATTCAGGTAGAAGTGAGGAGAATGAAGCATCAATATCAAAATGAAAAATGAAACTTTGAGCAAAATGAGAAGATGGAAGTGGATGCATTCCCTAAAAAAAGTAAATAATTCAAGTTGATACACTTGACAGGACTTGAGATTGGGTAATATCAGTTTAGGCTCAATGAGGAATCATGCCGAAGGTCTATCACTAAAGGCCCGATGTGGTCCTCTTTCTAATATCAGTATCAGCTTACAGTAGAATCAAGGTATCAAGGAAGTTTAGTTCTTTTTAGCATATCTTAGTTGTTTACTGTCACTGCATGCAGACAAAGTTCTTGCCTTGATTCCTCCAAACTCTTGCTTTATTTTATTATATACTGATACATGGGACTCTCTCATAAGGACATGATCAGGAAAAGGGCAGGAAGCCCAGTTTGAAATCTCAACAGGAATATTCCAGCTGGACAAAATCTGTAAATTTGGACCATTTCCAGCTGAAAAAGAACTGGAGAATATACTAGATACCGGTTGGTTTATAGCTGGAATTATCCTAGCTGAATTTACAGCTGGAATCATGCAGCTGAATTTACAACTGAAATTCAGCTGTTTCTGTAGATGAACCTCTGACAAAAATATTCAACAAAAAAATTATCATTCAGCTAGGGATATTACAACTAGGAACCAATCTGAATCTGACTACTTTCCAGCTGCTACCCAGATGGGATGGGTCCGAATTTCCAGCTGGGATTCAGCTGGAAATTATTGCTGTTTTCAGCTGAGATTTTAAGCTGGGAAGCAACATAGCATTAGATGTATCTCAATGGAGTTTGTCTGATTTTCAATTTTCATTTGCTGTATCACATTTAGAGTGAGATAAGAGCAAGCTGAGGTATAAATTAAAAAAGTGCAATAATCGAAAATCACTTTGAAACCATAACGCTGGTGATGTCATTGATGATCTCATAAAAGAAGGTGCTAAAAAGCTTCTGATAAAGAAATGCTTACACCTGTTTCCCTTTTGTGAAATCCTAGACCCTATGATGCTCTAAAGCAAACTGTATAGGCTTATTTAATGAAATAATTGTAAAAAGACACAAAAAAAACTCAAAACAGTGTTGTAATAGCCAGAGGAAGGCTACCTTTATAAAAGTAACTGACCTTTATGGCAACTGAGCGTGCCTCAGGAAACTGAAGGAGATGATGGCACAATTCTTCCCCCCTCCTCAACTTCACAGAGTTTGTGGGGGCTTCACACAATTTCTGGATTAAATGCTTTGTTCGGGACATCACACCATTCTATGAGGGAACAGAATGTATTAGGAGATCAAGAAATGAGACAATACAAAGATAAATAGGGAACATAAAATCATCCTGCAGTCTTTCAACGAATATTAAGAGCCACAAATCAGGGTTTCTATTTGTTCTTTTTCTTACCAGTTGATTCTACTTATCTGTAGTAGCTGACTAGTCTAGAGCAATATAAAATTATTGCAAAAAAGACAAATATCACAGATTCAACACTGATTATACACTTCAGTCACCAAATTCATTCGATCAGTTATACCCATCAAAAGATTAACTTACACATCTCAATGCTGCTTCAGAAGCTGTTTCAATTCAAAATAATGGACTTTTGTTTTGTGATAAATCCTACTGATATTCCAAAAGTTGATGAAAAAAAACAAACAGTTTGCATGGAAAAGATGGAAAAGAAAGAGAAGAAATTATACATATTGGCTAAAATGCCCTTCCAGGACCACCATACATTGATTATGGTGCTCATGATATACACAGTCATAGACAAAGTTTCAAGAGAGGGGTTAGGTGAACATCTATCAGGGAGGAATAGTTGTTTGGGTACATGCCCAGTGGTCAATTAGTTTTTACTCATGTGGCCTAGAGAGTTTTCTAATTGGACTCCCATATCAAACCTACAGCACCACATCACAATACTTACTGCACCCAATGATGCAGCAGATTCTCAGTCATCCTTCGAACAATATCTTCATAAACTTTTTCCTATCATATCTACACCCATCTCATCACAGCATTCCTTTAGTGTTTAGGTAATTGGTCACATAGGTGAAAAATTAATCTGTTTAAATATTCTATTGGATCACAATTGGATTGAAATATATCCTTTTCTAAGATACCTGCATGGGGTTTCAATCCAATATTATCCAGCAATACATATAAAATGAGAATGTGCACATTTTAATAATGGCATGATCAAATCAAGGGTCTCAGAAAGATAAGACTGCATACATCTTTATTGACAAAAATTAATTATGCAGAGAAGAAAAGAGATAAGGCCAATAATTACAATGCTGGCACACGAGTAATTTTCAATAAAACACCATTGTCTGCATAAACTGCTTGAAGCCAATTTCTGAATAGTAAAATCGATAGGAACTGCAAATCCAAAAGAAGAGTACATTGTTGAAGATGACTATTACCCCAAGAAAGAAACGTACATGTGATTTTCACAGGATTCTCATGATTAACAAAAATTTCCCATTGACTATCATTTTTCCCATTTTCATTCAATTTTGGCATTAGGTTGAAAATTGGGATAAACATGGCGCACAGGTCAAATATTACCCTCAAGGGATGTTACTTGCTTAGTTCGGTGTATGAGCATGCGTTTGGCCTGTTGATAATCTGAGTGGTGGTATGCTCTGTATGACTGGTGGTATGCTCAACTGTCATGATGAACATGACAATTGAGCATACCACCAGTCAGGGTTCCATATACAGTGAAAACTTGTTAACTCGAACTTATAGGGACCGGGCAAATCGTTTCGAGTTATCAGGAATCATCCCTCCCTCCAAAAAAACTCACGTTAAGGGACATAGGGGATAGAATGGCTCAGAGTGAGAGCAATAGATAGACAGAGCGAATGTTGGAGGCTTTTTATAGCTGAAGCTTTTCAGTTTTAATCCTCAGGTTTTATCCTCTCCACAGCGTCTGTGTGGGAGGAGGGAGAAACAGCAAAAGAAACAAAAGAGCATCCTCCCAAACAGGTTTCTGTCATTCATTCTATTCAAAAATCGAAAAGTCCCACAAGAAGAATTTCTTCCCCCTTCTCACCCTGAATTCAAGTTATCCATGAGAAAATCGTTATAGGGAGTGAAAATTTCATTTGAGATATCTGGAAATTTGAGATAAGCAAATTTGAGTTAAACTGAGCTTTTAACATGGCGCCCTACAGGGTTCCATCAGGATTGAACTTCGAGATAAGTGGAATTTTGACTTATCGGGATTCAAGTTAACGAGTTTTCACTGTATTCTATTCTGTGTCTCTTTAGCCTATAAAATGGGAGGCCTTGTTAAAATTCTGAATCAGGTAATCATGATAACCAGTGAACTCCCCCATCCTAAAAAAAGATCTTTAATAATCCATAGTAACCCAGGACTTCACATATTGCAAAAGTCCATTCAAACCATGAAGATAAGTACATGTGAAACAGAAGTCCAGCCAAAATGCTGGCGAATTTATTACAGATTTCATCAGACTCTACCTCACCTGGGAAACTAATGCTCGATTGGAGAGCCTCTGCTTCCAATAAGGAGATGGTTTTTCAGCCTCTTTCAGTGCTGCTTTAGAGCGGAAGATATTGAAGTAGCTTCGTTGTCCTTGCTCAATTTCATTGGCCACCTTCACAAGCTCTTCTGCTTCATCAGACAGCTGTGAAGCAAGACATCTTACCTAAAAGAAAATGCCAAAAATGGAAAATGTTCATGATCTCTATCAAAGAGTGCATGTGCTATGAGTTAAACTTAATATAAAATCAAATGCCACATATTTGCAAGGTCTACTAATTCTAAAAAGGAGCAGAGGAATAAAGAAAACAAGTTCCATACATGGCATTGGGAGAGTAAAATGATGAAATAAGAGGCAAAAACCAATCAAAACTAAGATCATCAAGGCATGAAAAGGAAAGATAAATGAAGGCAAATGTAATAGTCAAAGTAAAGCAAGCAATGGCCATCCAGAAAATCTTTAAATGCTTTCATGCATCATTATATCAGGGAAAGCTGGTAAATCTTGAGTTTGTTTTTCAATCAAATGAATTATGCAGAATAACAAGACATAAATTCCATGTTTTTCTTTGTTACAAATCATATGCAAATTAGGTGGGGAGTATGATTCTCTACCAGTATCAATGGGAAGCAGGCTTCCCAAAGGAATTAAGAATTCATGCCGTGGCAGCATGCATCTCCTGACAAAATGTTGAAAGCAAACATGTAAATTGTCCGTTTGTCAATTACCAAAATATCACAATCCTGAACGTTGAATGAATGAAGCAGATAATGTTAAAATGTTGAATTAGAGAAATGTTGAATTGAACTTTTATTTCCTCTGCCCACGATGTCACCAAAACGATATGACCCATTCAATGAAGTCTCAAATGCACGACATGCTGAAGGAGGGAAAGGTTGAAATGTATTTGGTCCATGGTCCAGAAAGGTATGAACGAAATGTGTATGTATATATATATATATATTCAACATATATGTTCAGCACTTTTTTAACAAAATATATTGCTAGAAATATATATATCCCACATACATAAGGTACAGTATGCAATTCATGTGGTATGGTCAACCCACACAGCCCAACTGCCAGGGTGCTCATAAAGCCTTTGATGCATCACAAATTAACATAACTTCTGAAGAAAACAGAGATTGAGCTATTAGCTAAAATGCACTCCCAATTTTCTTTTTACATACCACTGTAATTTTCATGAATGAGAACAAGTGGCACTAGTTAGAGTGGACACCTATTCAAACCAATAGATCTGGATGGGATGTCCCATGCCTTGGGCTCCATGCAGTATACCCCCCCATGCTCCCTACACTTGCCCCCTAGATTTAGGGTTGTGAGAGCATGGACACCTTCCAGTTTGTGACATTGCTATCACACTTCAATGTGATCACCATTTAAGTTGATACAGTACTTGACACTTCTATTCCTGATACACTTTCCATAGTGAAATACCTACACCACTGCTAGCCTAAATGATGTGGGTGTTGCATGTCTTCAGTTCCTGCATGCTACCTGACTGTTTTGAGTAAACATTTCTCAAATAAGCTGCAAAACTGAAAATCCAAGGGAGTCAGGTTAGCAAAGTAGCAGCTAAAGGTAAGAAAGGTCAGCCTGTTCCACCCACCTGCTTGGAAATGTATTCAACATAACTTGTGTAAGTTGTCATCTGCACTGAAAATTAAAATATTGCACTAGAAACAGTAGAATTTGCACTTATTACAGTTTGTAGTTCTATCTTTGTTCATTCAGAAGCCATGTACAAAGGAGTGCCACAGGTTTTATGGGCTCTCTTAGCATGGTTTAACTTTTTTTCAGAAGGAATTTGGACCTTCACATTAGTTCATCAGTATAAAAACATAAGAAAATAATTTGATTTTTTAAATTCAGATGGATTTTGCCAGTTTTACATTTTTCAAGATTTCTCAAGTTCTAGCATTCCCTTTACACAGAAATCAGAAAACTTAGTTGAATGTTATCACCATCGTGGTCCTGACATCCTATAGGAGAGGCCAAAATAAAGTTCACCTTTTCTCATTTCATTTTTATATCTGTACTGATTTAGACACTCATGAAATTTGAAGAATCATTAGTACCACTCTTCTCTGATCTGGGGTACATTATTTCAAGTGAATATGATGACTTTTTTGCAGCATGAACTTTGAAATCACAGTTGCAGGGTAATTTTCTTTCACATGCTAGGTTGAACATCCTTCAAGCAATAGCTTGGGGGAGCACAAGCATACTAATTTTTTTGGAGGTGGGGGGGAAAGAACAAAAATTTTTATTCCCTCCTACTCATCCCCCCCCACCCTCGCTTCCCTTGTTCTGGCACATTTTGAGCCTCAGGCAGAATAGGTTTGCTTAATAAGCACAGGAGTATTTTGGGGGTATGTCCAATTTCTCTCAGGAGGGGCATGAAGCTAACCTTTTGTCCCTTTCCCCCAGAGGGGATGGCTAATAAGGTAGGGTGACCATATTTTTTTAAAAGGAAAATCTGAGACATTTTCCCTCTGTTTATGGTTGACAATAGGCTAATGAGCTGCTTGCTACAAGTGAGTGGCACTGAAAGGAAAAATCGCTGGATTCCAAGCAGGGCAATACCTCAAAACCAGGGGCTGTTCCAAATGGCCTGTCCCGGTTTTACTGGGATGATCTGGTCACCCTATAATAGGGGCGTGTTAAATATTCAGAAGTTGCGAGGATTTTACCCCTATTAGTAGTTGTGGGGACTTGGAAATAAAATATTAAAAGGCTCACTTGACTCTGATGTGCAGGTGCAGAGGGAAGTCCCAAACCAAACTGGCTTAATGCTAGACCCAGCCCCTCAGGCAGGCATGAATAGGAAGAGGATGGGCTTAGACTGAGTGGGCCTAGGCGTTGGCCTAAACGGTTTGTAGCAGAGATTCCTCTCACAATTGATGACATGAGGGAGAAAACCAAGTGACACACAACACAGCAAAAGGCCCAAGTTCAGGTTAGCAACGAGAAGAACCTTCAATTGAGTCAACCACAGGTAAAGCCTGGACCACCCAAACTTGTTAGGCAATCACAATGGTCCTACCTCCCACTTCACTATCGAGTCAAGTTAGGCTCAAACTCGGACCCTTTCATAAGTCAGCCTCACTTTCCTTTGCTTAAGAGCCGTTAAGCCTCACAGACCTATCCTTGCGATAGTCGTGAATGGGGGTACGACGTCATTTCAAAGGATGCCCTAGTTTCAAGGCAAACGTTGGCTAAGCTACGCATGTAGACTTGAGAGAGGGAGCACGAGACGCACATGGTACAACCAATGTCGTCATTGGGGGAGTGGACAGCGCACCAGTGCTATGCAATCACTGGATTCATCGTTTGATTCGCATCTTCATTTTCATGCTTCAAGCCATTCTTCGAGTCATCTCTGCATTCAGAGTTATCCGGAATTGAGATTTTGAGATAAGATAATATACAGTGTATTTCACTTGGCTGCGACCGAGTGCATACAGTGCTCATCGAATGAATTCACCCCTCCCCCTTCCCCTGTTCTATGGGCCCCTATGACTCACCATGCTTTTCTTTGACGCATCTACGGATACTGTAACTGTTAATACCAACTAATCAGTTTAGATGTCGCCCACCTCGCTATTTTCTGCATCCGCAAGCGGTTGGGGAAAACGTATTCATTCACTATGAGTTTCCCATCAAACTCTCGCGTAGTCATCCCACGAAATAACTCGTATTGACTTATCGGAGACTCTCAGGGAGATTTTTCGCAGGCCCCCAACTTCTTTCTCTCATTCACTTCAATCTCGAGAATCACATCGATGATACACATTGACTAACGAAGGATTTCACGATCATTATTTCTACTCAGAGGGGGAAATTTACAGTTGCGTCTCGGTACTGTGACCAATCTGAAGCATTTTCGACTCTCTCTCATGTGCAATACATTCTATCCTCTCAAAGTTGATCCATTTCGACATTTTATCAATTGACATTGGCATCGACTGGATTCTTGTCCATTTCCTCTTCTTCGATGAAAATATCAAACGTGAACCAACTGCCACTTGAGGTTTTCCTTGGAGGAAGAAAGCTTCGGTGAAAACCACGGCTTTTTTTCTGAGTAAAAGAGAAGGATGCAGAAAGTAAAATTTTCAATTTCGTACCACTCATCTTCGGAACTCCGGGAAGATTGAGAACGGTGAATTTTTGCCAGATGCATCCTTTCATGCAGTGGCGTAACTAGGTAATTTGCCGCCCCCTTGCTAATTGCTATTTTCACATGCACACACGTTTTACTGGAGAATGAGATTTATTAAATATTTCTGTTATTCAGGACTGATTCTTAGCACAAATAATGTAATCAAAATCAATTCTTACAAACGACTGCAATCAAAATTCAGCCCTTCTTGATTTACTGGATGCAAAATCTTTATTAACATCGCTGAAATCAATGGAAGAAGCAACTTGACGTTCGATTGACAGGATAGCAAGATTTGTTAGTCTTTCTTGAGACATTGTAGATCGCAGGTACGACTTAATCAGCTTCATTTTGCCGAAAGATGACGTTTGCCGCCCTCTGAACTGAGGGCGGCAAACGAGAAAAAATCGCAAAATCGCCAATATTGGCATTTTTCCAGTGGGCGGCAAAATGGGCAAAATGAAAAAATTTCCGAAATTTTGCTTCTTTGAAATAAAAATTTTTTTGAAAGGCTACTTTGCCGCCCTCTGGACTGTGGCGCCCGGGGCGACCGCCCCACTTGCCCCCCCCCCCTCCCCCCCTAGTTACGCCACTGCTTTAATGGATAATAAAATTGCTAGGTCAAAATAAATATGCATCCCAGTGATATACGACTGATTTCGTGGTTGCGTTGATGATAAGCTGGCGATATCATTTTTACTTTGATGCTCTGACATTCCTCAAGGTTCACTTCATGGGCTCCTCAAAACAAACCTGATCCAGATCGATGACCGTCTTCGTCTCACGCCTCCTATCCCACAAACGCAGGGGGTTCCCCAAGAAGACTCGCTAAGTCCTCCATTATACATTATTTACATCTGCCATCTCATGAAGCAGCTCAAGTTAGATGCCACATAGACCAATCATCCCATTAACCTCCTCTGTATGCCGACGACAAGGTCATATACTCCCTACATCATGCTGCCTTCCAAGCCTCACACCTGCTCATATCCTGCACCTCAAAGGAGGATTTGAACCTGAGGGTACTTCGCAGGGCAGGAAAGGGAGGACTGTTCCCTGAAAAATACTAAAATTAGTACTTTCAGTACATGTATATTCTTTGATCGTCGTTATTGACCCAGCACTAGGGGCGCTACTGGGGTCCCTGCAAAAAAAAATAACGTTGAATAAATGTTGAATAAACATTGAATAAACGTTTGGAACGTTGATACAACGTAGGTCCAACGTAGCCTTGTTTGTTGGGTGGTGGTGAGCGTTCTAATATTCGAGATTACAATGTTCAGCCATTTTTGAGTTTCAACACTCATCTGAGTATTGCGATAAGCGACATCGAAATATTGATTTAATATTAGATGCAACGCCACCACTACAGTGGCAAGGTTCAAAATTAACGTTCATACAACGCTGATTGTTCGTTTGTTTACTGGGGGGTTTCATCAACTCATCTGTACCAACAAGAACCATCATACCTCCGACATCACCTGCAAATGCTCTCTCTGCTCTCTCTTTATCACCTCATGGACTGTTCCGAGAGCTCTAAATTCGCTACTACTTGGGAGAGTGGCGGGAAAATGACAGCATGGTCGTCCGTGTGGGTATGTGTAAGCGTAAATTTTTTTTTCCTTGGCATTTGATGTCTCAAATGAAATTAAATAAAGGACCTACCACTATAATGGGCGTCTATGGGAATAAGTTTATCTCTGTTAAACTGAATCCCATAGGGCACCATTGTGAGATCAGATCAGTTTAACTTGAACGGATCCGGTGCATGTCGCTCCTGATCTCACAATGGTCCCCCATGAGAATCAGTTTAACAGAGATGAACTTATTCCCATAGACGCCCATTAAGAAAACGAATCAGTTTAAAGTTAAACGGATCTGGTGCATGTCACCCCTTCGCGATGCGGCCTCCACACCGAAACGAATTTGAGACCTCTGCTCTACGCTTTGAAAAACCCGGCAATATACAGAACAGGGCAAAAGTCGCTATACAGTTGTTGAATATAGAACATAGCTTAATTTCTAACGTCATATTGACCTCTTTTTTTTTATCCAACAACAATATTACGACTACATATGCATATTACTCAAAGTGAGCATCATGGTTTCTAAGGGGGACTTTAGTGAATCATGAATTTCTTGAAGCACTTACTTTGAAAATAGGTCGCCATATTGGGCATTGGTGCAGTTTAAGATACTTTGCGTATCAGAACTGAACTCTCTGTCACAATAAACCCTCATTTGCATATCTTACTCCCCATTCGTGTGACTATGGGTTTTGTCGCTAACATCATTTTTCAGGTTGGGAGTGGCTGGCATTCCAAAATCACCTAGGTTAATTAACTTTACACGTTCAAACAAGGTTTCGTTATCAAAACTAAATTCCTGGTCGTAAAATACCCCTATTTAGACACCAGACACGCCGTCATGTGACAATGGGTTGCTCACTATTTCAGGTTTCAGGCAGGAGCAGCCATTTATAAATCCGACCGCCATTTCGACTCCGCATTCTCGGAATTGAGGACGACAGGCCAAAACGTGATCAGTAGATCGTAAGCTTCAATTTGATGCATGTCTAACATTTCTGTACAAGGAATGAATTAAACTTAAAAAATATGGTCCTTTTCCGAGGTTCACTGCTCCCCTATACCCTATCATCGAACCCCCCGATTCGTTCGAAAAAAAAGCTTGAGGTGGGAGAGGATGCGGCCGGAGGCTGCCAAGACACTCTTTTCTTCCACCCGTGTCATCCCACCATAATCAAAATGGGGAGGGGAGAAGGGCGGTATGGCTTCCCAGAATCCCCTCAAGGACGTCAAGGCTTCACGCGAATATGAATTTGCGCTGATGAGAGCACCTCCGCAATTCTGCTTAGAAGGGGCAAGTACTCGAGAAGCAAAGGGCTGCTTCAGGCACGTGGCAGCGTCCCCTCCTCCAGACCCCTAGCAAAATATCCCACTTCTCGCTCCGAGCGGAAATAGGTTAACGAGGCGAGACTCACCCAGGCATTTAAGTACATTAAGGGAGTCGATGGCAAGGATCGTGATCGGTTTTCCTAACTCGATGGCGGCAGCGGAACGAGAGGGAACCGATTCTGGCTGCGTAAATCCCAAGTGAGACTC